AATTTCACGCTCTAATTTTATATTAACTGACTGTAACTATTATAAATAACAAAACTGGACGAAACATGTTCATTTTGAATAAAAACGCAATAAACCCACAGATTTATTGATAATAAAAGTATGTAGTATATTGTAACTGAACATAAGTACAAGTACTTAAATTATGAAACACACTTCTAAAATAATTACCTACCACCAGGAGACCGACAAGACCCCAGTCTGAGGTCCTCATTATTTGCGCCACTTCCAAATGATTATAGACTTACTAATTTTCATCCAAACGATATTTACGAAATTTTTCCAAACAAAATACACCATGCACGCAGTTGGCACTAAATAACTCATATTTCTATAAATAAATCTAAAAGCTTGATTGTTTCATATTCAAAGAAATAATTGATTGTCAAATGCTTATGGTTTCCATTATAAATATTTACATTTTCATTTAAAAACTTCTTCACATATAACAGTTATTTAAAAAAACATTTTTAAATGTTTCGGGAAACTAAATATATTATAACACAATTTTTACTCGACACAAGAATCTCAGGTTACGATATTTTTACAGTTTACCTGTACAGGGTCATAAAGATTTTATCTGTGACATTAAAAGATACCAAAAAACGTAAAACGCTCATTCATTCACCACATTTCACGTTCTTCTTAGCAGGTCAAGAACTAGTTACACATATGCGCTCGTAAGTTTTTAAATTGCTAATTTTTTTGGCAAAAAACACAGCGGGAAGCGAGAATCTACTTTCAAGGAACACTAACTTGTTTAGCGTTTAAAAAAAGGACAGAATTTTGTTCGCATTTCAAAACTCTAAGTTTTATTTTCTTTTCAACTTGAACAGGCCATCCGGATTGGCGCGAACACCCTTAAGAGTACGATAAAAATATTGAAAAAATTACTTTTCCTATTTTTGGTGGAGATATGTGATCTTACATTTGAGTTTTTTGCTACGTTTAACAATGAAAAAACGGTTCAGTTATCGCAATAACTAATAATGAAACGTTTAGTTCACATTTCTGTTATCCATGGTAATGTTGTAGGCGTTGCTATTGTTATCGTCTTAAAAAATTAAAAGGTTTTCATGCATTATGTAAGTTCGGCGTTGCCAAATTTACTTTTATAAACTTATGACTGCATCGAAAAGAATTTAATTTTTTTCGCCCTTATCGACATTCTTTAACAATGTACCGTTAAGGGTGTTTGCGTCATTCCGGACAGTCTATATCTCCCAAAAGTTTTCAATAATCTCAACTTTTCAATATGAATTTTTAGCACTTTTCGAAAATTTAACTAAATACATTTTCTTGTTCAAAAGCGAAAAGTTTTTCATGCAATACGTATGTTCAACGTTGCCAAATTTACTTTTATGAAAATATAATTTTCTTGTTATCTACATTGAAAAGAATTTTTAAATTATTTTTTCGTATTTATCGACATTCCTTGATAATAACCGTTATGGGTGTTTGAGACATTCCGGAGAGTCCGTATATAATGACATTTTCTTGTACACCTCGACTTGTACAAGTCATTTTTGGCTTCATTTCTTCGAAAATACCACCAATTTTTTCGGAGTTGATAAAATAAAAAACAATTTCTAGGAAAAAAAAACGTTCATTTTTGTACAGCAAATTTTTCGAAGATCTCTCATTAACACTGTTTTTCAAAACAGCTCGTCGAGATCTAAATTTTTTGATGATTTTAGGCAACTCTTCAAAAATATCAATTTTTCAATATGGATCTTTTTACTTTTTCAAGCATTCTTCGAAATTTAACTCAATACATTTTCATGTATATTTTGACATGTAGCATGTAGTTATTTGCGCCTTCATTTCCAACAATTTTTCCAGAATCGATTAAATGAAAAATGACAATTTCCCAGAAATTTTAAAATTATCAAACCGGTTTTTTCGAAGATCTTGATCCAGGACACATGGTTTAATTTCTTCAAAAATCCAGCAATTTTTCCAGAATCAATAAAACGAAAAATGCAAATTTTCGAGAAAAAACTTTCATTTTTGTACACCAAGTTGTTCGAAAATTTTGGAACCGTTAATATTTCGAAACAGATCGATGATATCTACATTTTTTTACTTTCTCGAACATTTTTCGAAAATTACCTCAAGACATTTTTTTGTAAATTTCGAGTTGCTGAAGTTATTTTCGACTTCATTTCTAACAATTTTTGCAGAATCCATAAAATGAAAAACGACAATTTTGGGGATATTTTAAAATTTCATTATCAAACCAATTTTTTTCCAAAATCTTGGTATGGGACATTAACACCATGTTTCTCGAATCAACACATCGAGATCTATATTCCAAAACCCTCCTCCGATTTTTCGAAAATCTCGATTCCGGGTCATTAACACTTTATGTTTTTCAAGTCAGATCGTCGAGATCTATATCTCAGAATTTTTTGTGAATTTTTAAGCAACTTTTCAAAAATCCGAATTTTTCAATAATATATTTTTGACTATTTTTCAAGCATTCTTCTAAGAGATTTTTAGTAGATTTACACTTGTAGAAGTTATTTGTGGCTCTATTTCTTCGAAAATTCCAACAATTTTTCCAGAATCGAGAAAATGAAAAATAACAAATTTCAAGAAAAATTTCATTTTTACACCGAATTTTTCGAAAATCTTGGTCTGGAACCATTAACACTATTTTTTCTTATGATTTCTTTAGGCAACTTTTAAAAAATCTATTTTTTTTTTCAGTAGGTATGAATTTTTTTGACTTTTTCCAGCATTTTTCGAAAATTACCAAAATACATTTTCTTATTGATATCGACTTCTAGAAGTTATTTTCGGCCTTACTCCCAACAATTTTCCCAGAATCCATTAACATTATCAAATTAATTTTCGAAAATCTTATCCTTATAGGAACATTCCAAATACCATATGCGTCAAAATGTCGAAGTATATTCTCCAGCATTGTTTCCCCTGAAGGACGAAGCATAACATTCACCAACGTTATTAATAAGAATGTCATACGGCTGACAAGACGGTAAATTCGCAATCCTATTTAAAATAATATTTACTTAAATAATTCAGGTAAAACATTAAAAAAAAGAGTAAAACATAACACAGTAAAACTTAAATTATCGAAAACCGAAATAATTTTGCCTAAGAATTAAAGGAAAATGTATTCATTTGTTTCCTGAAGCCTTTATAAGTCAGTATTTAAACCTTCACCAGTACATAAAAGTGCATACAAAAACAATGAAAATAAACAGGATATGCAAACAAACACAATATAGAAAAAATTTTGACCTCAAGTTGCTTGAACGGGGGAGAGCTGATGACTTCTAGTTATGAAATATTTAAGAAGTGCATCACGTGCCTTTAAAAATCAATATCTCACATATTTATGTAAATTTCGGAACGCGGTTTTCACCACTGTTTGCAGCTTACGAAACTCTAGGAATCACGCAGGAAAACATTGTAGACTTTTTTGGCAGAGGTGAGATGCAGTAAGTCGACAATGTTTCCTGCGTTTTGTAAGCTGAAAACAATGGTGAAAACCGCGTTCCGAAATTTCTATAAACACTTCCAGTTTAAAACAAAAAATCTCGTCTCCTCGATGAAGTTAAAGAAAAGGAGTTAAGTACGCAACTTAATTCCGGAAATAAAAAAAAACAATGTTATCAACCAAATTAAACGCCATGTCCCGGTATCTGCATTAAAAAAATACTAAAATTTAAACAAAACGCGTCATTGCGTTTTTATTATTTTACTAATTGGAATATTTTCCCATTTGACATTTGCGAACAATTCTTTTATTAACATCATAAAAGCACATTTTTAGGCAAAAACTGAACAAATGACTTCATTCGCCGTTTCCACTGGCGGACGAACACCGTTTAATTATACATAAACAAATCGATTGTTCGCAAATCCGTTATTCATTGCATCAAAACATTCGCCGCGGGTGCAGATTGCATAATATTTGCGCGCATTTATTAATCTTCAAAATGTATGATTTATTAGCCAATATTTCAATCAATACGAGCCCAATCTCCTTAGACAATTTTTCCAGTTTTGTTTGCGGATTTATGAGATAATTCCGGAGATTAACCGTGTGTTCATTTTATGATTGGTAATTTAAAAGTTTTAAATACGAGCTTTGCAACGACCACGCTTTCAGCACTTGGCATTACTAAAAAATCCTATATGATTCGAGCAAATGAGCGTTCAATTAACGCTTCATTAAAAAATCATTACGGAATGAACGAGATGCTTCATTTACAAAGTCGATAAAGAGCATGAGGCGTAGTTGGAAATAGTTCGTATTACAATAGGCGCGACTTTTAACTGTTTTTAACGACTCTTGTACATATTCTTGTAAACACGGCGAGAAAACGTTAAAGAAACAATGGGTAATTATATTTAATGAAACGAAATTTCGAATTTTTATTAATCCGAATGCACACACCGCTGAAGTTTGAGTAATTAATTCACGAAAATAAAACATGTTAGGTTCGTTATGACGCCCCGATTATTGATTGTTTTATGCAAATTTTAGTTTTATCTTTATGACACTCATAATGCGTCCATTTTTGTTGTTTTAGCGCAACAGCATTATGTTTTTGATACATTTAAATCAGGGTCACGCTTTCTATAAAACTGTTTATTGCAGTTAACATTTTTTTAATATGATTTTACTGCTATAGCATAGTTCCCAACACATGTTTCTCATAAAAAGCACCACTGAAGTAGATGAGTCAGTGAGAGGTCATGAGAGCAATTGTTTGAACTTTAATGAATTCATTTTTTTTATGTTTGAAGTTATTAACATATGATACAAGGTTACAGGTAGATATATTAGGATGATCTTTTATTTAAGTTTAAATGGATAATATATGTAAATTCGTCACATTAACATAAGTACTTTGTTATGTATATTTAGTTCCGGTGACGCATTTCAGTTTTCAATGTTAACAGGATTTTCGTTCATTTTTCACAAATATATATTTTTTTGTACTTGCCTGATCCATCCGAATGATCCCTTCCGCGAGCGTCTTGAACCCTAACATTGTGCGATTCTTGTACCGTTTCCGTCTTTGTAGCAAAATGTGGAGCTTATTTCCTTCTCTCTTCAAAAAATGCGGATACTGAAGACAAAAAGTTAATTCCAACGGCGTGTCTAACAATCCGCTTTGTGGCAGAATCAGCTCATTGGAGCGTAATGTGCGTTTACTCGATTGCATTTTGACGGCAATTGAAATCGAGGCTAAATCTGAGCCCAAAGGTCTTAAGACAACCAGTCTGGTCAGGGTTAGTGAACAAAGCCTAAAAATAAATTCTTGACACAAACGTTAAATAACTACACTCGTGTGTTACTGACCTGGGTATACAATTCGAGGGGGTTCTGTCAACCCAAGTGGCATACAGCCTCATTTTGTTGGGAGCGGAGGCACCCGCCCCGCTCATGGTTTTGTTCAGTTTTTCACTCATTTTTTTCGGGGGCGTAGTCGCTAAATCAGAGGCCCCAAACCGAGAAATATCACACCCGAGACACTCTCGGACCGACCGACATTACCCACGAGCATCACTGAACTCTACTTTTTGCACGGTTTATGTCAACTGCATCATGAACTGTCAAACGAGTACAAAGACCGCAAAAGTGACAGTTGCGATGCAACGAATGACTCAAACAACGGAGATACACAGATTATTAGACGAGGACGGGAAGTTGAGACGACAAATTTACTCTGGCGGGCGATAGATCAACTGTGGAACGTCAGCGGCATGGTAAAACAGGAAATCGCACCGTCGTGTTAGAGACAGACTGCAACTTTTTGACAGACATGCGTGCTACAATTGCGCAGTGCGCCTTATTGACGCAATTTAAACGAATTGCGTCTTATTTTTTTTATTAAAATATCGTAAACGCGTAAACTTAACGATATCCGATATTTAAAATGTATTTAAAATATGCTAACTCAAGCAATCAAATGTTCAAAAAGTTTCTGCACATATTTATCATTTATTACAAAATGGTTATAGGCGCAGTTGGCTATGAAAATTCTAAATAAAGTTGGCAGTCCTACATCAAGTATAGTAATTTCGGAATTATGAAATTTGTTGTTGGTAATTCAATTATCTTGTCAAAAACTCATGTTATCACTATGCTGTAATCTTCCTCGTCCTGAATTAGCTTATTTTACAAATTTTTATAATAAAATGCAGCGTAAAACTGATAAAATTGATATCTATCTAGTACTTTTTTGTAACTGCATCTAAAAACGGGTGTGCACTATCATGGCCTACTGCCTCGAAAATAATTTTGAAATGTTATTTATAATTATGATCCCTAGACCTTGGGTCTCGACTTAAACGTTGCCGTTTTCTAAATTAGTTTTTCATATTCTTGATCACAAAAGACGTAAACTAAAACTCATACTTTCTCTACAAATAGCCACAAGAAAAAGACAGGTAGTAATAAATGGGATAGAAAAACGATGACAACGATAAGTCAGTGTTCCTTATATAGTTTTTGCTAAAATTAAAAAACCACCACTTGTTGATCTCACTTGCTAACAAAAAAAAATCATCCCGAAACTTTCTCTGCGTCCACCTGCATGTCGTAAAACCTATCTTTTGTTCATCCTTCTCAGTAATACTTATCCCTTTCCCAGATTTCGAATACCTTCCAAGAACTCTTAAGTTTCCACCGCTTTCTACCGACCTTTTTTTTTCATTTCAATTTAAAAAACTCTTAAGACTCTCCTACATCTGCCGTACCGACAACATCAAAATAAATACGCCAAAACGCAAGTACTGTTTCAATCACCTGATCACCCCACAAAATTAACTCAATTATATGAACGTTTGGAGAGCTAAAGTAAAATATTTTGTCGGTGCGGATTATTAGCACCGAAAATCTTTACTTGAATGGGCGACTGTACTAATTCCTTATCTGAATAAATTACCTGAGGACGGTCGTCCGTCCTCTGGTTGTTGCAGGTCGAGTATGTTTATTTTCTATTTTGCAGGTAAATTTTACGATTATCTAAATAATCTTCACGTTTTTTTTTTTGTATTAAGAAAGGCATCATGTTGATCAATATAAACCAGAAGAATAACAGACAATAAAACTACCATTTTAGAGCTGACAGATTTAGTAAGTATATTAAATATTTTCAAAACGAGCAAATAATCTATACATAAATAGTATGCAATAGGAGTATAATTTATAGTAATAAAAAAATAAAGAAAGTATGTAAGAATGAAGGGGAGGCATACGTTCAAAATTGGACAGACAGGCTTATAGATAGATAGATACATAGATTATAAAAAATTTGCTCGAAGCTGATTTCGACCAAACTTTCCAAAAAACAGAGAATGATAATTTAAAAAGATGTCAAATTTATAAAATTAATAATGACGAATTAATACAACAAAAAAATAACAATCAGTTTTATTAAACTTAAAATGAAAGTTGTTTTTTAACTTTTAGTGATTTTTTTTCTCTGTGTGCTTTTAAAATATAATCAGGATTTCGAATAGATAATACCCTACGTCTCCTAGGATCAACAAGTTCCGGAAGAACGCATCCGTAATAAACTTTTTGGAGTTTTAGAACCATTTTTTTACAAAATTCTTCGTCATATCGAACGTATGTAATTTTAACCCCTTTGAGTGTCCAAATGGCAAAAATACAAGATTTCCTTTTCGTTATGTGCAACTGGCCTTGCATTTGGTAATCATATACATGTTCCTTATTTACTCTTTTTGTCCATTTTATGATAAAACGAGGCATTCTGCTTGAAAAAACAAAACATTATAGTAAAATTTTTTGCATTTAATTTTGATAGGTATGTATATTTAAATTTTTAAATTCGATTTTCTAAATACATATTTTCAACATGTACAGTTGCCGCCTTCCAAAAGTACACGATAATTTTCTCTTTTGTAAATGTATATGTATATGTGCAAATCATGGGCGTTCGAATAACAAAGTTTGTCAAATTTGACATTTTGTTTATTCAAAAATGCTACGTCACTGGTAATAGCCAGACAAATTTCATTCGAGATACACCCACATAAAACTTTATGACAGATAATTAGTGAAACCCCTGCACAATGGCAACAGCAATTTATTGCTTTTAACACCCTATGCGACCAGATATCGGCACGTTCCCGCAGAATTTTTCAGGGCCGTACTCTGTTAAAAAAATAAGGTGAAATAATAGACAAATTGTATTAGTTAAATAATACTTATAAGATTATAAGTCACTCTAACGACTGACAAGTAAGACGTGAAATCAGTTATTTGAATTAAGACCAATTGAAATCTACCCAAAGTACTTTGGGAATTTGAGTAAACAATTTCATTGCCGAAAGCAGGTAAAACTTTCAACTCAACCCGAATATGGCTCTGTATAAAATGACCTGTCAAGCCCTTTTCATAATTTATGGTTGCGGTTTCAGGAGCACCGCTTTTTGAGTGCCATAAAAATTTATGTGAGTGTATCTCGAATACGGTTACAGTACATTAATTTAAAAATTCAAAAAATTCCATGACAACGAAAAATCGTGCACTTTTGGGGGGTTGCAACTGTACATCGCTACATAAAAATTGTATGTTGATTGTCTTTTGTTTTAAATTATATTCTCATTGACATGTTTTTAAATAGCAACTTATTTATTTTTTTTGTTTGAAGAGTGAAAATTTTTGAAAGTTTTTCTACAGCTATAGGTACATATATGAACATAAACATTTGATTATGCTAGATTTTTTACCAAATAATGTATTTTAAAATACAATACGGCTTTAAATAGAGGCCACCTTCGGAAACGATTATTATTCAGTCGAGTCGAGTCCAGCAAATGTTGAGAGAAGCCAGCCTAGTTGCGCCGGGATTATTTTGTACATAATTGCTGTGTAATTAGACGTGTACTTTCAAGTTATTAAGAAATAAATTGTTGAGTTTTACGCACGCCGGTTTTTAAATACCCGTTCATCGTGCAGTTGGCTCCAGAAGAAACGGGAATCAAATTCCTGTACAGTGTAAAATGTATTTGTCTCTTACTTGTCAATTTGACAAATCTGATATATTTGTCAAAATTTTGACACTAAATTTTTGCAATGTCATAATTGTTCTAATCTATTTCAAAATAGTCCTGTTTAAACTAGAAAAATTCACACAGTAATCTGTCATAATAATTTTGACAGTTCCCGTTTTTACTGGAGCCAACTGTAACACTATCTTTGTCAAACTTCAAATTTAATGCTACGGTGTTGTCAGAGTTATATTTTCAAGCTAGAATGCAGTGTTGGTGGTTTTTTAATTATGGCAAATGCTATATTGCATCTATTAATCCAAAATAGTTGTCGTCGCAGATGGCTGTGAAAATTCTAAATAAAATTTGCAGTACAGTATAATAATTTTGAAATTATGAAATTCTTTGTTGACATCTCAATTGTCAAAAACACGTGTGTACATAAACCCATGGTGTAATCTTCGTTGTTTTGAATTTGCTTATTTTACAAATTTTTATAATGAAAGCAATGCTACTTTTAAATGAAAGCGTACCTGAGGCAGTCTTTAAAATTATAACTTCAAACTGTTAAAATTGATATCTTAGTTCCTTTTTTAGTTACTTTTTGTATTTTCACTTTCCAGTTTCATGTTTTCTCAACGTTTTATAACCCCTGGCCTAGAATACGAAAAAAATTTCTTCCGTTTCGGTTTGTCAGTCTGTCGTGTCGATTTTTATTAAACAGATAATCTCCGAACTACTGGACCGATTGTTGCCAAATTTTGTAGGTATATTATAAGAATGGTAAACTGCTAACCAAATTTGGCTAATCATCCCCGCCAATAATTCGATGACGTCATTTCAAAGACTATTTTAAAATTATCAAATTTTGTAAAAATTCAAAAAATTGCAATTTTTCAATGGACGATTCTGGAAAAATGGTTGGAGTTATCGAAGAATTGAGCCCGAAAGTGACTTCTACGGCTCGAAATCAACAAGAAAATTTAGTTAAGTTTCGAAAATGGTCGAAAATGGCTCGAAATTTGAAGCTGTTGGAAAATTTCACTTTAGAAAAAATTGTCCAAAGATCCTCAAAAAATTCTGGAATATAGATCTCGACATGCTGATTCCAAAAACGTAGCATGGAGCAATATTTTCGAAATATTCGACTTTAAAATCAAATTTTTTAGATATTTCAAAAATTGCAATTTTTCAATGGGTGATTCTGGAAAAACGGTCCGAGTTATCACAGAATCGAGCCCGGAAATAAGTAACTTGTGCGACTCGAAATCTATAATAAAATGTATTTAGTTAAGTTTCAAAAATGGTCGAAAATGGGTCGAAATTTGAAGAAGTTGGAAACAGTTCACTATTGAAAAAGTTGTCCAAAGGTTCTCAAAAAATTCTGAAAAACAGATCTCGACGTGCTGATTCCAAAAATATAGCATATTTATGGTCACGGAACAATATTTTCGAAACATTCGGTTTTTAAATGGTATACAACAATATACTCCGACACTTGTGGTGTACGAATCCGCTTTGAGTTTCTAAAAGTGTCTCTCTTTAAATACATAAACATAAACACTCGCAGTTAAGCATGTTATTATTGCTGAGAGGCCATTTTCCCGTTGGTTATCTTCTTTAAATATATTTTACAATGTCCGTACTTGTGCGGCGTCCCCTTGTAATTTATTGGACTTCAGAAGCGGGGGAAGTTCTGTGGAAATAAACTTCGACTAATTTTTGTAACTAAATCTAAAGGTGGCTTTGCACAATCATGTCCTCGATGCGTCGACAACCATTTTGAAATAAATATTATATGCAGAACTTTTTTGAAAATTTGTTTAAAATTTCTCGTTAAGTAAGCTGAAATTAACATAAACGTCAAATAATGTCAACGTGACTGGCGAAATGTGTCGACAATTTTTTTGTGTTTTCTGTGTTTTGAAAATTAACATTATACTCTTACTTGTATTAACAAAGAGAAAAATGGGTTCGTCATGAAATAGTTTCGTGAATTTTTTTTGTCACCCACCATTTGTTATCAATTGTGCAATCTTTAATTATTATGCCTTAAATTAATGTAATGTGAAATTTCAGATTACGAAAACAAAGAGTTATAAAATTAAAAAGCGGAACAATGATGATATAACTTCTAAGTAGTAAAAGCGAACGGTTTGATTAGTGAAAATAAAGTTTGTATTTTTTTCTGTAAAATTCTTTACGTTGTCGTATATCTATAGGGTTCATACGTCACACCTTATTTTCTCATCTGGTAGTTCCCTCATCGTCTATAAATTTTAAATTTGTAACACATACATAAAATCTATTAAATTTCCATAACATCAGAAAGCTCACAAAGCACCCACTTCAGAAAATCTGTCATTTGTGAGTTAAAAAACAGCCTTTTTTTCAACTGAACGACTCCAAAACAGCACAAAAATCTGCATTTCGGTTTGAAACTTTCTAGTTACCTGTCAGACTTTGATTGATTCTACTGTCCACATTTCATCTAAATCGCTGTCAATACAATCTTATAGATATTTGGCAGACGTGTAGTCGTACCACCCATATAACTGGCCTCTCAGCCAACTCTAATTATTGATTTTATTTTTAATTGCACGATCTATAACTTGCAGCAAATGTCTCACAGGCAATTGTAATCTTTTTAATTCATGCAAAAAGAGTCTGTTTTATATTCATTTCTTGAAATCTGAAATGACACACTGTATTCAAAATTACGTCAGTGCGTCGCCCACGCCCTCAAAATAGTTACAGTCTATCCGTAGATTCGCAGCGAATTAACTGCAGAGATCTGTAATAACTGTATATACTTAGATAAGGAAAAACCAATAAAAAAGAAACATTTTGTATTAATTATTTCATATGACCCATAAATTATAAAGTAATATTTTCATACATTATTAAATGTGACGTAAATGTTTAGCAGGCTGTGACGGCGGTGGCTCAAAGAACAGCTCAACAACCAATAAAAATCTCATAAAATGACAGATGTCGAAGTGACGTGTCTGTCCCTATTTATTTATTAAAAACCAACAAATTTACGAATTCTAATGTTTCAAATCAACTAAATTGCCATAATGAATTATAACGCAAACACCGGGAGCCGACCAAGTAAGCGATTTGGCGTCAATTTAAAAAATTGGTGCCTTACATAACCTCACTTTGTCATTTTGCTGATTTTTTAGCACTCGGGCGGAAAGTAAAACGAGTTAGCGATGTAAATTCTATGGGATACACACCGTATGATCCAGCGCAGGGAGTACAAAGTAACATATATCCGAATTTGGGTTCCGAAAGTCCAGCCCCAAGTGCATATCAACAAAGTAGTGTGACGCAAATACTTGACTTTGTTCTCAAGCTTTCTTTCAGATTTTGCTAACCAACAGTTTACAACACCTAATCAAAATTATGGCGTGCCGCAAGGTAATCCTCCGGTATATGGATTTAATCAGCCTGGACCTTATTCCAATGTACCACCTACACCAAATGCACAGTTTGGTACTGTATTTGGACAGCCAATTGTTCAAGATATGGCTTTGCAATATGGGCAACAGGTTTGAATAAATGGTAGAGGGTTCATTTTTTCATCATTGTTTTGCAGCTTGCAAACACAGGAAAATCAATGCTAAAACAAGAAGTTGAAAAATTTGTTCCAGTTAATAGCCTAAAATATTATTTTGCTGTTGATACAAAATACGTATTGTCTAAATTAATGCTCTTGTTCTTCCCATTTACGCACAAGGTAGACATTCAATACACATTTTTCTTGTAGTGCTAATGTGTATTTTAGGATTGGTCTGTCAAATATGAGCAAGATGGCCCTGTGCAGCCTCGATTTGAGATCAACGCTCCTGATTTATATATTCCAACAATGGCTTATGCAACTTATGTTCTAGTAGCAGGGATGGTTTTGGGGATGCAGCAGAAATTCACCCCTGAACAAATTGGAATTATTGCTTCATCTGCTTTAGCTTGGTTTGTGGTGGAATTAGCTTTATACAGCTGCACTCTTTATATAGCTAACATCAAGACCACACTACGAACTTTTGATTTGTTAGCTTTCAGTGGTTATAAATTTGTCGGAATTATTGTTAGTATTTTAGTAAGTCTTGTAGGAGCACGAACAGCCTACTACAGCTGTTTGATATATGTGAATTTAGCGCTAGCATTTTTCTTGGTTAGAACCCTGAAAGCTCAAGTTTTAGTTGAGGTCAATACTCAACCAAGTTACTATGGGGATGCTGTTCCAACTTCAGGAAATAAAAGGAGATTGTATTTCTTGTTGTTTGTAGCAGCGGTCCAACCTGTGCTTTCATGGTGGTTATCGTTTCACTTAATTGGCAATGCAAGCCCCGAAAAAACGGTTTCAGAATGATTTTATTAACATGCATGCTGGACTAATACATGTGAGCACCAGTCTGGATTTATTTAACGAAATACAATATTTTTTATGGTGTTGAGTGTTTTGAGGACCTCCAATCCATGTTAATCTGTTGTTGTGGGAACTGATGTGTGACATTTTGCATTTAAAATAAATATTTTATTTAAACGTTTGTGATTTGTACGATTCCTGGTTTCGTAAACCGCGCCCCAAAACTAGAGATTTTATTTGTTGAAGCGTTCAAGTTGGTGACATTGTTTAACCTCACTTTTTCAAAAATGGACGAAGTAAAATTGCGGTGTGAATTAGGTGTTTTAACTCGTCCAGATGGTTCAGTCTTGTTTTCAGAAGGTAAGACATTGGTTTCGAAACAGGTATAAAAATACAGCGTTTACCTTTCAGGTGAGACGACAGTTGTCGCAGGAATCTATGGACCAGTCGAAAGCAAAATTAATAAAACTTTGGTTGAAAAAGCTTGTGTAGAAGCATATTTTAGACCAAAATCGGGATTACCTGGTTGGTATAGATTAATAAAAGCTATTTGCCTTTAAAACTACTTACCTTTTTATTTGATATTTTTTAGGAGTGAAAGATAGGTTAAATGAATCGATGATTAGAAATGTGTGTGAGGCAGTCATTGCTGTAGCCCTTTTCCCTCGAACTGCTGTAGTTGTTGTTGTACAAGAAATGCAAAATAATGGACAGGTTTGCACATGGTGGTTGATTTAATGAGAATATTAATCTTGTTTTTTTTAGTTAATTTCATGTGCTTTAAATGCCACCTGTCTAGCATTATTAAATTCAGGAATTGACATGAAATGTATGTATGCGGCTGTAACGTGTTTTCTAGACAGGTCTGATTCCATTGTTCTTATTCCACCTGCTGATGAAAGAGAAATAAAAGGTTCCTTCATGTTTGTTTTTGACAGTGTAGAAAAGACCATTTTAGCATCCCACACCGAAGGTTCATTTAGTATTGATCAATACAAAGACGCTCTTAGTTTATGTAGAGAAGAAAGCACCAATATATTTAACTTTTTTAAAAAAGCATTGACAATAAAGTGATTTTTAAGTATGTGTTTAACTCATTTAATTTGCATTTTTAGATACTATAATCTATTATAATTAATTGTGTGAATGTTATGCACACTATTAGATGATGTTAATGTCCCCTTGTTTTTATTGGGATTCTTAGGCTTGTGAATCTACCTGCACTTAATTAACAGGTAGGTTGTTTTTAAAATCATTGAATTTTAATGAAACAGATGTATAACAAGATCAAAAGATAAAAGCCTGCAAGATTCACACAAATCAAAGAAACCCAACTTAACGTTTTTTACGCTACATTAAAGTCACACTCTCACATCGTGGAGAAAAAAGTTTCGCATTAACGTCGTGTGTTATTATCATAAACTCTAAATTATAGAGGTAAAAAAATAAAAATTGCATATCACAAGTATGCAATAAGCTGTTGGGAAGGTAGAAATTATAGCTGGGTGAGGGTGGGTCTGTTCGGTGCTTGCTATGCTATCCATTTTAGTTGCGAATATAATTATTTCCGATCACGAAACATCCTCGACGCGTTATGCTATTCGCTCCGATGTTGGGCCAATCGTCATTAGTCGACCCACAACCCGTTAAATGGTGGGCAGGTAGGTCCTAAGATCGGGCATCGTGAAATAACTAACTACAACGTTCTGGTGATTTGGATGCGCATTAAATCATTCCCAAGGAGACTATTATTAAGGGAGCCGTACCGTGCGATAAACATAAATGTGGGAATTTTTACAGTGTAGGTATGAATATGGACGTTTTTTATTTAACTCGTGTTAATGTTAGTACTTTAAAATAAAAATTAATAGATTTTATATGCATTTTCGGAGTATCGTGTAGATGGTAGAAATCAGTAAAAAGCTAACCAAAATTTGTATAATCATCCCCACCAACAATTTAATGACGTCCGCTGATTATATTGCGTAGTTAAGGTTATCTAAATTTTAAGGAATAATATAACACCTGTACCCGTGGTTTATGGATCCTGAATAATTTTTTTTTTATGAAATTTAATAAAACTGATTATTAAAATATGTATGTAGAAAGGATATTATCAGGGGCAGATGGCGCCAGCTGGATTCTTATATACTTTTAAATGAAGTAAAATGTCGGCTTTTGAAGCACCGGTCTAAATTTTTCTCGCGCTGGTTCACCACGTCTCATTCGCCCTTTTGATCACTGGATTCCAAGATTCTTTCAAATTATTTCAAAACCAAGACACGCAGAGGCTGGAAATTCTTTCGAACTACTTCAAAAACAAAACAAGGGGTTCCCGAAATTCTTTCAAACTACTTCAAAAATAAAACAAAATGTGTAAGCACTTGAGATCCAGTCAAATTACTTCCAAAACAAGAAAGAGATATCGGAAATTCTTCTAAAATATGTACCTACGTAAAAATAAGACAAAGAATCTCCGAGATTCTTTTCTTCAAACACCGGACACAAGGAGTCCCTAAGATTCTTTCACTACTTACTTAAAAACGAAACATAATTGTTTCCAAAGATTTATTCAAATTATGTACTTCCAAAACAAGAAAGAGATACCCGAAATTTTTTCAAACTACTTCAAAAACAAGACAAGGAATCCCCGAGATTCTTTCAAATTACTTTAAAAACAGGACAATAAGGGATACCCGAAAGAATGTAGTTTGAAAGAAGTTTCTTTTAAACTACATACTTAAAAACAAAACACAAGTTTTTCCCGAAATTTTTTCAAATTATGTACCTACTTCAAAAACAAGAACAGGAATCCCCGAAATTCTTTCAAACTACTTCAAAAATAAAACACAAGTGGTTCCCGAGATTCAAATTATGTACTTCAAAAACAAGACAAGGAATCCGCGCGATTCTTTAAAACTATAGTTCAAAAACAAAACACAAGGGGTCCCTGAGATTCTTTCAAACTACTTTAAAAATCAGACACAAGGAATCCCCGAGATTCTTGCAAACTACTTCAAAAACAAAACACAAGTGGTTCCCGAGATTCTTTCAAATTATGTACTTCAAAAACAAGACCATGGATCTCCGGGATTCTTTCAAACTACTTCAAAAGCAAAACACAAGTGGTTCCCACGATTCTTTCAAATTATGAACTTCAAAAACAAGACAAGGAGTCCCCGAGATCCGTTCGAACTAGTTTAAAAACAAAACAGAAAGAGTCCCTGAGATTCTTTCAAAATACTTCAAAAATCAGACACAATAAGGAATCCCCGAAATTCTTTCAAACTACTTCAAAAGCAAAACACATGTGGTTCCCGAGATTTTTTCAAATTATGTACTTCAAAAACAAGACAAGGAATCCCCAAGATTCTTTCAAACTAGTTCAAAAACAAAACACAAGGGATTCGTTTGATTTTTTCAAAATATTTCAAAAATCGGACACAAGGAATTCCCGAAATTCTTTCAAACTACTTCAAAAGAAAACACAATTCGTTCCCGAGATTCTTTCAAATTATGTACTTCAAAAAGAAGACCATGGGTCTCCGAGATTGTTTCAAACTAGTTCAAAAACAAAACACAAAGAGTCCCTGAGATTCTTTCAATATACTTCAATAATATAATCAGATACAATAAGGAATCCCCGAAATTCTTTCAAACTACTTCAAAAGCAAAACACATGTGGTTCCCGAGATTTTTTCAAACAAGACAAGGAATCCCCAAGATTATTTCAAACTAAGTAGTTCAAAAATAAATCACAAGGGATTCGTTTGATTTTTTCAAAATATTTCAAAAATCGGACACAAGGAATTCCCGAAATTCTTTCAAACTACTTCAAAAGAAAACACAATTGGTTCCCGAGATTCTTTCAAATTATGTACTCCCAAACCAAAACAAGGCAAGGAATCCCCGAGGAAATAATTTTCAAACTATTTCAAAAACAAAAGGAGTCCCTGATATTCTTTCAAACTAGTTCAAAAACTAAAACATAAGGGGTTCCCGATATTCTTTTCAATTATGTACTTTAAAAATAAGACAAGGAATCCCCGAAATTATTTCAAACTACTTATTTCAAAAACCAGACACAAGGAATCTCCTAGATTCTTTCAAACTATCAAAAAACCAGACAATGGTTTCCCGAGATTAATTCAAATTACTTTAAAAATAAAAAAGGGATATCCGAAATTTTTTCAAACTAATTAAAAAACAAAACACATGTGGTTCCCGAGATTCTTTCAATCTCGTTCAGAAACAGAACCCAAGGGATCCCTAAGATTTTTTTAAACTACTTCAAAAACAAAACATAAGGGGTTCCCAAGATCCTTTCAAACTACTTCAGAAATAGAATACAAAGTGTTGCCGATTTTATACAGGTACTTTTAAATGAATTAAAATTCCGGCTTTTCAAGCACCAGTGTAAATTTTTTCCACGCGGGTTCAAGAGGTTCCATCCACCCCAGGATATTGTTTATTTACTAAATTTCCCTTTTTTGAAAATGCGTCACACAGGTAAATCATAGGTAATTACGTGCAATTAATTAGTGAAATTATTTTATAGAACCTAATACTTAAATACCAAGTGACTATTAATGTTTGCGATTTTTTTTTGTCAGGTTGGTAACCTATTTAAAATCTATGATGGAACACCTAATTGTCAAAATGATATTTAGGACAGCTGCCATCGTGTCAACCAATCAACACGTTTATTACATGTCAAAATTGACAACTGTGAACTCACTAGCATGGATGCTAATAATTCAAAATGCCAACACAAAAATTTGCTTCAATCATTAGTAGTCACCCGGTATTAGTAAAAAACTAATTTTTTAAGGGACATTCTTTTTTGGTTTAACTGGTGAAACAAAACTTTGAAATTTCACGAGCTTTAATTTATTTTATTGGCTAGAATTGTAAATCTAACAAGCCAGTATCTAGCGAAATTTTCAAAATTCTCCTTACAAGTATCAACTACTCTTGATTAATAACAAGTGAATGAAAAAACATGTAACAAAAAGCGGTACCGAAGGACATTTCCCTAATTGAAATGTGATTTACAAATCAGTTCTTGAAATGACGTCATGTCCTTTTTGTAGGGGATAAATTTTTTATTTTCATACACTGGACGTATTGTAACTGTGTTTCCAAAACCTTAAGGAAATTAAATAATAGATAAAATAAATCGGTTTTTTTTGCTGAATTCCCATCAGGAATCTTAACGATATAACGATCAGATCGCGGACGCCAGCACATTACTCAACGGAATTAAGCGAGTTCATGCGCACTATTTACCAGGTCGACTGCACAAATGTTATGAATTATGATATGACTTCAGTTTTTTCTCAATAAAAATAAAAAACCTAGGTGTGTTCTAGGTGGTTCCACGCTTATTTAGTGTTTTGGTGGTTTGTAAACATCTGCAAGGCAAAAATTTTCAGAACAGTAGGTAATTGTCAACGTAAACCCCCGGCCTTGAAGTTTGCAGGCTTTCTATGGATTAGGTACTCTGCAATGTCCACGCCCTGATGATAATTATTATCATCAAAATACCAAAGCCATTTAACACGGTAACACAGATTAAAAATTTGCCAGATAGATAGTGATCTACAATTGTAAATAAAATAGCGACTTTCGAAGTTTGTAGTGAGACTTCAGAATATGAACAATAATGATTGTGATTACTTGCAGTTTTTGTATGGGCATTTGTCGTTTCATCCTGTTGATTATGTTAGTATTTCGGACCGTCAACTTTCTGAACTGATAAATTCCTTTTGAAATTTCGATTGTTATCAATAATGGATGAAGTTCAGTTATCGAAAAAATCAACTACCGAAGTAGAAAGATGAGCTTTAGCCGTTTGGTATTCTGTTTTAGTACGCCACGGTTGCATAAATATCATGTCGGTATAAAAAGGCACACCGCCGATAAATTTACACACGTAACATAACTCAGCGCGTATTGGATGCATCTCGAAGGAACGGCAAAAACTGTAAGATCTCTATTATAATTTTACAGGCTTCCTTAACAAGAAGCCGGGTTGGCAAAAAGTACGCGGACATTCGCATATAACGATGGAATCTTTATGAA